AACCTGCTGTTTTTCAATGAGTTTCTCACTTACGGTCTGGTTTTCGTTGGATCGACGTGGGAATTTTTCGGTAAAAAAAATTCGACGATTTGGAATAAAATTTTTGTTACCCAATAAAAAAAAAATTCAAATTACGTACACAGTGATTTTTGTTCAATTTTATTACCTGAATCTTAAAGTCCATAGCTCAAGTGTACTTTCGATAGGAGTACCAATTTAATATCATAACCTGATTAACCCTGTCTATGACAAATCTATCAAACGCACAACGGAACATATAATTTTGTGCCTAGCTTTAAGCCAAGTGCACTCGCGATGTATTGAATATGAATTACATGCATTTGATGTGTGCAGGCTTGCATTCAACTTTGATTTAATGGCTTATTAACGTGATCGTGCCTTCATGTGTACTATTCTACTAATTGAGTCTGAGTGTGCTTACGCGGTGCATGCTAAAATCTAGAGCTACGTGTCATTACAGTTGGATTAGATATTCTTCATGTTAAAAATTAATACTTATCCATTCCCCATTAGCTTTTGTTCTTGCTGCTAGCAGGAAGTAGCAATAAACGTCATCAGCCGATTTCCGCTAACTTTACCAACTTCGAAATCTTCTAACATACATAGGTGACGTTTCGCGTCTTGTGTACAGTATTGTTCAAATCTTGGTGCTCAGGTGGTCCCAGTTGAAATAAGCCACTGTGTACACATCGGTTCTTCTGTCTGTGGAGAAAATAACGGAGACGGAAAGGTTGCTTGTTCCCTTAGGCTAAACTCTTCTTGGATTGGAGTAGGTTTGAGGTCCAACCTCATAGATACCGAAAGGATCAATCCTGCAACAATTTCAAATACCGATATTTAGATTATCCATAGTACCAACCCTGTAAAATTTATCGCACCTCGGCCAGCTTATCTCGGCCAACATTTTCATAGAAATACCACCTGTAATGTTCACGTGTGGTTTCTTACGGAGTATATTTTATTTTGCCAGGTTCTTCGCACGTGGAAACATCTTAGGAATATACTTGAGCAATGTTGTCAAATGTATTTATTATATTAGAACGTGGCTGTACTCTATTATATCATTCTATATATTGAACCTGGAGGATCGTCCTAGAAAAATATTTTTCGGACCAATCGAGAGATTCCCTTGGCTACGCGTGACCGCGATCCTGGGAACAGTTGATTTAGGACGTGGACTTCATAATTACGTAGAGTGTGAAAGCCTTAGGTAAACATATCGTAATAAAGTTACGAGAAGGGACGTAGTGCCAAAGTAGAAGGGATAAAATCATTGGGGCGTAAAGAATTAACACTGTCCTTCTTTTTTACATCAACGTATTATCCCTGTGAGAAAGTCTGATACTGTGTTTTATTTATTATTTAAATCGTAATGAATATCACATATCGTCTCTATAGCATCGATCGATTCGGGACAATGAATAAATAATTGCAAATTCTAATCTAGTCCATGACGTTCTTTATTTACCCTTTCGATACACGCCCATTGCAGCGGATCCGGTGCATAAATCTTTAGCAGTTGTTTTAATAGATCCGTATTAAATGCAATCCTGGTATAGCATGAAGATTAAGTACAATTTAAATGTAGATTCGAAGTAGGTCCTCCGACTGGATCTATGTCACTTATGTTAATGCAGTATAGATTTTCCCACGAAAATAGTCACGGGCAGTATCAATAATTCTAATTTAATTTATTAGCCTGTAAATTAATTCAAAATGCATGCGACAGTCACGTGAAAGTCGAATTAAGTTATAGAATTGTTTTTTAACTATCTGATAAAAGCTCTATATTATTGATCGAACGTAATAAACAGGGCGAAATTCAGATTGTCCCCTGAAATTTTTCATGAGGTTTGATTAACCGAGCTTTCACTGTTTAACTTTCTCATGGACCAACGTCATCTTGCCTAACCCTTTACAAACCTATAAAAGTTTATACGCACGAGTTATAGTCTCGACCACGCGCTATAAATTAGATGACATAATTCGTTCTACATTCGAACGACAAAAAGTCGGGTTACGTTCATCGTAAATTTCAGTGAGGCTGTTTACCCAGGCGAACCTTTTTGTTACAAGCGGCAATAGAGTTGGCCACGACCTGACGTAACTAGCCTTAAGTTGATCCCACAGGGTCGGTAGCAAGAGCAAAGTGAAAAAAAAAGTGTATGCGACTATCAAAATATTTCAACTCGCCGGACTGTACCAAATGCACGGGTGATTCTATGTAGGACTGGTGACGTTCTATAAATTGACGTCATTTTTATCCATACATGCCGACCGGCTTAAAGGCGGCAGATGGTTTAGAATGCCCTATTAAGGGGATATTCTGTTGAGGATTAAAACCCAGCCATGTGACTGGTATTTAATCCTTTGAAATAGACCTGGTACCGGGTATCGGCTCGGTCTTATTAACAAGTGTAGCGCAGATGTCGCCGATAAAGGCGTGTTCACATGTAAATAACTCTTCGACACGGACACATGTGATTTCGTTGTCTCGAGGATTTTACCACGAGGCAAAGTATCAGGCAGGACCTTGAATAAAATAGCATTACCGATACTCTGTCACGTATATGCAAACATTCTGTCTTCAAGAGTACCAACATGTACGATCGTTAATTCTTATGGTTTCTACAATGGCGTGTTTGAAAACGCACCCAGGAATGTCGTCTTTTTCTTTTGGTCATTCTTCTACGTGAACAGTTCGAGCTGTGAAAAAGGGTAAGAGTCGTGAATTGAATGGAGACCAGAATAGTAAATGGGTAGGTCAGCCAAGACGTGGCCGATGAATATTTGTTTCAATCGCACCGAGGACCACCCATTGAGGATACCGCATTAGGCTACTACCTCCATAACCTATCCAATCCTAGGACGTTACGAGGGCCGGTCTACAAATAGATTAATGGTGTAAATTGAACAGATCCGGTGTGTTCCTACCGGAGATCATGGCGGACACTGCGCCGATATACAGAGCGTAATCCTTTACGTTGTCGTTCCCGTGGGGAATTATGGATCGTGATTTAAGCAACGGCATTTCTATGAAATACAGCCGAAGTGTCGAGTCGGCGAGCGCGGAGAGGGGGTACAACATTTTATGGAATTAATGCGGCAATTAACGTTATTTATTCTAGTCGCTCGTGCTATTAGGTATTATTTACAGGAATGTAGACCGAGGAAAACATGGCTGGTTCGTTAAGTCGCCTCGAGGGCAACTTAAATTTACCGCCACGAATGGCGCGCTTTGCCTGCACTTTTCTCACTCTTCGAATCGTCCTGGATGCAGCGGACATGCACCTCGGTGCAATCTCCTTGCTAATTCGGTACGCTAGAAGTCGTTTTGAAGTGCGCGACTGCAGGTTACGGCTACTCGTCCCGAGACTCTGTCTCTGCCGTGCGCCTGCGTATATTATTTTACTTGAATGTATAGGAAGTCAAACGAGTTAGGTTAGGTTTATCGCGAATGAATATTCATCGTTTTCGCGACAATTTCATCCAATATTTCGTGCCCTCGGCCAGCGCCAAGCACCGAAGACTCCACTGACATATAACTTTATACCGTTCCATGCGAACTTCTCATATTTCTGACCATCTGCTCCCTGCAGCTTCGACGTCCTCGTGTTATTACTTAATATCATCTAATCCATATTTTTCACCCTTTCCGACTTGCCCCTTCGTACATTTCCTCTTCGACGAATACATACGATTCGTAGCTACGGTTCACCTGTCACCGAATTTATCGACGCCACTTGTAGCTAGCAGCGGAGTCACATTTCTCAAGCAATTCGCACGATACGACCTCAGTTTTATACGATCTTTTTTTTCTGTTCTCGAAGTAGCTGTTTTTTTTCGTCAGACTTTTCACGGACCGCAGGTCCCTCCTAAGATGATCATAAGAGAGGGCAGTGTGCAGTATATCGCGATACTCGTTATCCGGGTCTCTGCTCAGCTCAATTTCTCTTGGTATCTTATGGGCGTACGTGTGTACTCGTACAATAACGCGGCTACATCCACCCGAGTAATTATTTTCAGTTATTCACAGGATTCATTGCTCCACGTTACAAAGTGCCACATAGCTAGTTATTAATGGAAGTTCCGGGTATCTTACAGCGTGCGAAACCGTCCACCAATCTTATGCCCGCGCAAGCTGTGACCCACGATAGATCTTGGGTAGGGCAAACTGTGCTTATGCCTAGGTTATGCTCGTGTCGCACTGTGACCTTTAGTAGGTGGTTTCTCCCACCCTCTCACGGTATCACTCTGGTAACATTCCCTTTGCTGTTCTCTCCTCCACGCATCCCCCTGCCATTCACTTTGACCCCCGTGGATACCTAATGAGCGCATTAATAACGAAACCAGTGCCTGCTCTTCGCTCACCCTATAGCTAGTGCCCACCGGTACCAACCAGCAGGAACAGCAGTGCTGCCAACTGAGTACTTTTGAAGAAAGTGTACTTTACAACCACTTTCGAGTCAACCCTATGTTTACTTCTACCCTCGTTAACAGTTCATTTGAAATTCTTCGTAGTTTCATAACCGTAAATACTCGTACAGTCTGGATCGTATGTGCACATATGCTATATTCATGTTTATGCAATAAGATACGTCTACTTTAATTCCATATAGATTTCCTCTACGTGCTGCTTAGGATCGACTTGATATTATTTTTATATTTTTATATGGGCTCTGTGAACCAGTGCATACTATACTGCGACAGGACCAAAGGAGGTACAGTGCGTTCCAAGAATTGTCAAAAGGAAATAAAACACATAGAGATCTCAATGAGCGATAACCAAACATCTCACACGCACGATTTGGTTAGCTCCGTATATGGTGCGTCTTGTTGATGAAGATCATCGCTGACCGGTAATTAATAATGCGTGATTTGCATAATCTTACACCTACCGGCTGACCCCAGTGTGCCACAGGGCAGAACCCTTTTCGAACTATCGTGGCGCCACGTTCGGCTACCAGGTTATCCAGATCAGAATTGCATAATTTATTATTAGAGAATGTTGCCGTACAGTGCTTTAAATACATGAAGCTTTACTTTATATGTTTTCTGAAAGTGTAGTATGGAGTGTCCGGAGGATTTTTTTTTATTGATTTCATTCAGACGCAAGGAACCCCATTTTCAGTATCCGTCGAATCCTCCCATTCGCTATTGCTTAGATCCTTGCGCAAGTTGTCTATTATGCTACCTGTACATCCGGACTCTGATAAGTAATCCAACAGTTCCGCTACTATTTTGTGTCGTGGTCTACTGAAGAATTCACCAGCAGCTTCGTGCAAGTCGACGATTGGTTTCGTCTGTAGAATATGACTATGGGAAAAAAGACTGTTATCTTTCGACTGTTTCTCCTTTAGAAAGTAAAGTTTGCCGTCTAGTCTCTCGGTTATATCCGGAGCAAATACACTGATAAAAGCTGCAAGCTCACCTCAAGAGAATTGAGATCAATCCTTTGATTTCTGGATGAGCTTTGAAGTACTGCTCGTTATCTTTTCTTTGCTTCATTTTCTTAAGATTTAACGTTCGTTGCTGATCTTTCGTTAATGTCCCTAGATCGTAATGTTCCATACCGTAAGGAGGATCTGTCGGATGAAAGGGATGCTCTTCCAAAATTTCTAATGAATCATCAGCCATTTCAATGAGATATATTAATTTTTTTTTAAATCGATCAAATATTTAATGACAATTATTCTCTGGCAACTGTCACCATGGGAACGTGTATGAAGTTTGTTGAAGATCCAAATAAATGAAAAGGGATCGATCCTCTTTTTTTTATAAATAAACATTTTCATGCGTCCAATCTATAAACCGTGATCCAATATTTAAAGAAAAATATGGAACGTTTTGTACAGCTAACGCTTATCGACTTTATGTGACATTGACCAAGTCCAAGTTACCAGTGACTGACAGAACTTCGATAGCGAGCTACGCGAGGAAGTTGAATCGAATCAAGTCTTATCCTCGTAAATGTTGATGAGGTCCTCGATAAAGTTCATCCAGACGTTTTATGACCTGGATTCACCATTCGTTTGTTCCTCTCCTAACTTACCTTATCGTGGAAGGATCTTGAGCCCTTAATAAAAAATTTTATATAAAACTATCAAAGTTACGCAAAAACAATAATAACAATATAATCGCGTGTACATATATAAAATCCGTTATTGAAAACATATATTCAAGATACCATGGAAACACAGTCGTTTTGTAGCTGTATTGCGTTGTATTTCTTGTTCCAAACAGTTCTCGAATCTTATCTCAAGCTCCGTTTGTCCGTGTCCCATTCCGAATGTACAACTCAGAACTACATGTCGCATTGAGAGACCCGATACGCGTGCAGCGCATGTGTACGAACCTTGAACGTGCACGCGTGACTTTTGTTAGGGGACCGCAGCGCGGGTATTCGCATCGATATCGTTAAGATATCGATCGAACGATCTCGTCCGATCTGACCATCGCTGAAACCGGTGCTCTAACGTTCTGCACTATGTTCCAGGGGCTGCGGTCGAGTATAGCCTGTTAACAACTCCGGTAACAAGCTGAGGGAGTCTGATGTCTTGTTGCTGCAGGTTGACCCTTTATCCACCTGAACCGCTATTTATGGCGCGATTAAATAATCTTTATAGCTCTGCTAGGGTTACGCGAAATATTACTCGATTTCCGGACGCTTCGACTAATGGACAAATTGGCTTAAATGGGATGTATCGTCACTTTCTCAAACCGGATGCAATTTATGTTCATTTTAACCAAGTTTTATTTCTTTATCCCAATGATTATCTCACACTCTGTTTATTTTCTTGCACGATAAATCGTTAAGATTTATTTTCGAAGATCGGAGCACTCAAGTAATAGAGTGGAGAGATTCCATAGAAATAAAAGGACAATTCCTTCGAATTGATTTACTCTCGGATAAGACTAATAAAACTAATAAAAATCCTCAAATCCGAACTAGGAAGAAAAAGGTATTAAGGGAATCGTCGTAAGCTCTTTCACGGATAATGCGAAATAACATAATTTTTGTTTCACGATGTCAACCCGTTAGGCAAATAATGAATAAGTTCAATGAATGTATTACGTAAGAATTTTATTACACGTAATTCAGTTTTTAATCATACAATAATAATAAAGTAAGGACGATGCATTTTTAAACGTTTCCAAAGACTAATAAGCACGTAAAGAGCTTTTATTATTGTTGGTATCGATATATTATCAGTGTTAACGCGTTTTACTCCAATAACGAACGTCGTACAAAATTATTAATCGCAAAGTGATTTTATCTAAGCACAAGGCAAGACGTAGGTAGAGTGTGCTCAGTGAAATCTAGTATTCGAATTATTTCAGTCCAGTGTGCTAGTGCACTTTTAATCCCAGCGTACACATCTCCTAGCGTGTGCGCAAGCACTGTAAGCTCCCGGTAAGGTAGCATTAATGGCCTAGCTTTATACAAAATTTAAGCGGCTTACGAAGTCTTCTCAAGACCGGTATATTAATTGTCATACACTCACTTTCGCGTACCGGCAAAATCCTACGAATCGCACCCGACAATACTTCATCGGCGCCAGATAAAACGTGTGATCCCTGATGGTATAAAATTTGACGTTGAATTTCCCATAGCAAGCAATGTAAAAAAAAATCAGAATTGAACTTTCCTCAAGGAAAATAAGTAAAGTAATGCCAATCAAGTTACGCGGTTCAATTACTATACAATTAACATAGTAATTGATTGTTCATTGATAAGATCCTCACTGTAACGAGAAATGCATAGATCTACGTTCACGGATCTACGTTCGTTGGACGCACAAATCACGCACGGGCGTTAACGTTGGGTTAGATATACGACTCGAATCTAAGCGTACTAAAACTTCTCGTCAAAGGTGTGAACCGTCGGCATACCACTCGAGTTCACGGCGCTCGGCCCAAGTCTCGAAAGACAATTTCCCACTATGGTAGATAAATCACCCAGGTAATTAAAGATGTGTTTAGATAACGCTCTTGAGATGCGCGATACCACCTCGCGGAGGATAAACGTTAGCATGCATTATACATGTGCGGCCGGCGCACGTTTACTCGAGTCTTACCTCCCACGTTGTTCCGCGATTAGGCGCTACGTGGTATAAGATGCTGTTGGTTTACCTATTAGCCCTCAAATCAATATTAGCCATATTAAATATGTACAGTTATTCTTCGTATACATACACAGTGTCATCTCACGTATGGCTACTCACAAATTCCTATTAGAACACGTTATTCTGATTACCAATAAGCATATGACTTTTTTTGATAAATGAATTAAAAATATGTTATAGTTTATAAGAAAATACATATTTTTAAATTTATTCAATTTTATACTGCAAAAAGTATAGTAGCGTCAAACTGATAGTTTCTCTAGATTACCTGTAGAACTATAGAGTGCCTGATATCGATATACCTACGGATTAGCAGATTAGTGTTCATCATGAAATTCATGTTGCCAGATATGGAGGACACGCAATGTTTGGAAATGAGAATGTGCGAACGTGTTTATTAGATATACGTGTGCAGGACAGAGGTTGACGCCATGTTTAGTTTTGTGCAGTAGACAGACTCGCAGTATGGGGTTAGATTTTTTTACAAAGGACTATACTTCAGTAACATAATATTACAAGGAACAGCACGTAAAAATAACACGACATCATCGTCTATTCTTTTACACGAATAAGGTTATATGCTTCTATAATATGACATTCAAATTATAAGACACGACCGGACGTCATCACGGGATCCAAGTATCAATAAGTAGCCTAATTAATGCAACGCCCGACTCATACGCGGGAAAGATGATAATTTTACGTAAAAGGAATACTAATCCTGAAGGTGCAGGAAAACAAAAGGGAGAAACATTGGGATGCATGGATATATGGTATAATAGTGACCGTCTAGACGGAATCCTATTAATAGCCTTACCTTCCACTATTATTTTGTCGCTTGCTCGCTCATCCTAACCAATAAATTATGTACACCCCTTTGTCATCCCTCCACACGCTTTCGTGTACATTCCTGACTCGTTTCACACGCGCACGCCATTCATCCGGCAACGGTCATGGGAAGACGACATTATAAAACAGCACCACCAAAACGAACTATTCTTCTACGTATCCTCGCTGACAAACCGAATCTCTCGTCACGCTTAGCCGACTTCCTCGGGCACCTTAGGAACATGTATTACGTCATGGCTTGAAAGATGCAACCCCTATATGCCCATCTTGGGGGATATCTGTGTCTAATTTATTTCCTCCCTTGAATTACGCGAATTAGGGGCTTTTGGAGCAATACCCAATCGTCAGTAATCTGATTGTGTGTCTAGGCAGGCATCAAAAATTTCTTGATATATCATGTAGCAGCTTAGGAAAATTATTGCAGGAATAATTGGTACAGAAAATCCAATTGCGGATGATTACGTAAATTTGAAATCACTTTGGACGTGAATATTTTTGAAATCTCATATAACGAAGGGTCAGGAATTTTTTACAGGCAAAAATGACGAATATACTTCATTTTCTAATGCCACCTGTTACGTTTAATAATGTTAGAAAAAAATTTTGGAAATGGTTTGGTGTTTCGCAGGAATTCGATTTACAGACTCTAGGGCTTTCTAGGCTTTTACGAGCAAGGGGAAAAAATACGAAGGGACGAAGTATCCCTGGTATAAAAACAAGATGGCACATTATGCCGTTGAGACGGAAGAACGGAAGACTTCAGTATTTTTCTATGGGCGCGAGAACGCGTAATCCGGGGTATCGCTTTACAATACTACGTCGTTCGTTCTGTTGGCAGTTCGGCTGGGGGTTGAGAGCTGGCCAGGGGGGTCGGAGCAAAGGATAATATTGACTCAGCAATGCCGCTCTGTAGCTCGTACGTACCGAGTGAGTCTCTGCGACGAATAGGGGTTGCCGACTGGGTTTAATGTTTTGCCACTGACCACGTTCACTTCACGTCGTGACATAAGTTTGCTCTATCAAGTGCTCGTGGGTAACTACGTTTCTCGACAAAACCAGGCAAACGAAGTAAATCGACCCAAATACTGTTCTATTTACGTTATTCAATGTTACATCATCGTTTGTCGATATTAATGAATACGATGCAATTTTAACGAATCATACCCATTAATTCGCAGGTCGATTAATTTACGAACGCCAGGTATTTATTCGTGCTTATACTTTCCCATTATTTGAGAATTGTTGCGTGTTATAGCGTTGGATCGTGCAACGTCAGTTTACAAGCCAGCAAGTATAGACCATAAGCTTTGGTAATGGAACGTAATAGCGGTACTGAGCAACGTGGTTAAGCTGCTTATACAACCTCTTTTGACTGGTTGGACTGCCACACTGATGATATTATTCCAGACCGAAAACGGTAGGACTTTCGTAGGAATTATTTCCCCGTAAATTCTCATGGTTATCCGCTTGTCCCAAAATTGCTTTTAATCGACGACATTCTTGCAGGGATGCGAATAGATTTTTTTTCTTAAAATTTGACTTTTGTTTTTCACCATTATAATAAAATACTCGTAGTATCGTACGAGTAGGTCATTACTATGAGGAAGTTCTCTCGTTCTTATCGAACTTGAATCGGTTTATTCTCTGTCTTCTTGAATTTACATAGAATTCTAAAGAGTCTGTTGTTTAATGAACTTATACACGAGAAATATTTAGTCTTGTACTGCCATCGAATCCAA